GTGCCCTTGCTGTTTAACCCCCGTTATGCTCCCAGGAAGAGTCCCCCCCCCCTCCAGAGACCCTGTTGTCAGCAGAATCGGTGGGTTTTGTTTGTACATTTTTCAGCGTCTTATCACCGTTTAAAAACTCGAACGGCCCCACAGCGGAACGTGCATGGCCTGGTTTGCGAGCGTGTCGTAAAGCTGACCACATCCACGGTGAAATATGCTGCTCTTTGATTGGCTGATTGAATGCCTTCCCTGGGGTTCTCTCCCGCAGGAGAGAGAGGGAGACAGAATGGAGTGAAGGACCGAGGGAAGGACCGCAGGAGAGGCAGCCCAGAGAAGAAGGAGAGGTGGAAGGCGGAGAGTGGCTCCTTACTCAAACACCTGGGTGAGTTATCCGTCAGTGATCCTGCCCCTGACGTCCCGAGTGAACCTTCCAGAAGGTTCTGCTGAAGTGTGATGAGTCAGAATGAGACCACAGAAGTGTGAGGTGAACCTGGGCTGTCAACCAGTGTTTGGGTCGGGACCCAGGTCTTGGGCCTCACGAAGGGTCAGCCGGGGGGGGGGCTCTTGCCTGATCAGCCATGGGTCCAATTGAACAGATGCGGCAATCTGGCTCTCAGATGGTAGGGTAAGGAGTACAGAGCATGTTCTAGAAGCAGAGAATAGTTAATATAAAATTAAGAAGCTTCTCTCATGATAAAAGCAAGTGCCCAGACCCCCCCCCACCCCCACCCTGCCAAACAGCACCACCTCCCACCTCGGTGGCTCTGAGCCGCGTCATGGAAAGATCTCACAGCAGAGCAGTGGGGGGGGGGGCCTGACGTTTCCTTTAGCACAGAGGGCACTGGGCCAGACAGTTTGGTGCTGCTCATTTGGTCCTGCTAAGATGGGGGGCCTGTTACAAAATGTGACATCACTAGCATGGAGGAGCGGTGACTGAAACATGTTACTGGATCTCATTTTTGCTCCAAAAGAGTCCAGAGAAGCAGTAACCAAGCGAGCAGGAGATTTCAGCCCAAGCCGAAACTCAGAGGAGTCTCACACTCTCGCCCTCTAACCAGACTTGCGTAGATGCTGATATTTGTGTCTCCCCATAATTATTATGATTACATCCTCTGTAATCTCACCCCCTGGCCAGCGGCGGGGCCTGCGGTGACGTCTACTGCCTTGACGGCGCCTCCCACCCCGTCATGCGGCAATCGCAGCTCGCGTCTGAATCTGGATCCACTCCAGAATCAGCCGGGGCAGCTTTTGCGTCTGAATCTGGATCCACTCCAGAATCAGCCAGGGCAGCTTTTGCGTCTGAATCTGGATCCACTCCAGAATCAGCCGGGGCAGCTTTTGCGTCTGAATCTGGATCCACTCCAGAATCAGCCGGGGCAGCTTTTGCGTCTGAATCTGGATCCAGTCCAGTATCAGCCAGGGCTGCTTTTAACGCCCCGGGTGTTCCGCACGTGAAGAATAATGTCAGCGAACTGGCCTCACTTGAGCTCTGGGTTCTGTGGCAGCCAAGTTGGGCATGGAGGGTGGACGGCGAACGTCAGCAGGGTGCCTTGTATGTCAGCTGCCCCAAACCACCCCCTTCCCCCGCCGCCTCGGTATCCAAGCAGCACTCACCGCAAAGCCAGATGCTGTAACCTGCTCCTGGCACAAGTGGTGAATCATCCCCTCTTTGTAATTTACTTGAAAGATGGAGGAACTTGGGCCCAGTAAACAGTCCACCATGCCAAGCCAACCTTTAAGCACCGCTGTAGTGTTAGCGTTAGCCTTTATCTTACTGAGCTAACCTTTCAGTATAACTGCATCTTTAGCATTAGCCTTTATCTAACAAAGGTAACCTTTCAGTACAATGCTGTCCTTAACATTAGCCTTTATCTTAACGAGCTAACCTTTCAGTACAGTTGCGTCTTTAGCATTAGCCTTTATCTACTCAAAGTAACCTTTCAGTACAATGCTGTCCTTAGCATTAGCCTTTATCTTAACGAGCTAACCTTTCAGTACAACTTCGTCTTTAGCATTAGCCTTTATCTAACCAAAGTAACCTTTCAGTACAATGCTATCCTTAACATTAGCCTTTATCGTAACGAGCTAACCTTCCAGTACAACGCCGTCGTTAGCATTATCTGTTATCTTGCCTAGCTAACCTTCCAGTACAGCTCTAGCATTAGCATTAGCCTTTATTTTATCAAGCTAATTTTACAATACAACTCCATGCTTAGCATTAGCCTTTATCTTACACTAGACATCACTCACGGGTCAAATCATCAGGCCTCTAACAGCACTGTCCTGCCTCCAGTTGCATTATCCATCCATCTGTCTTCGGCTGTTTATCCTGGTTAGGGTCATGGGGGTTCTGAGCCTGCTTAGGCAGGGGAATACCACGGGCAGGCTGCCAGTCCATCACAGGGCATGCACACGCACACACACACGGACAGTGACACACTGCGTGACCCCAGTTACCCCCCCCCCCCCCACTTCCGAGTAAAAAATAATCTTGTTCTATAACTGGGTAAAAGGCTGAATTTGTTTTGGGGAGATGTTTCTAAGTATCAGGCAAGCATTAATTGGCCAAGTAATATTTTTGTTTGTGTCAGTGGCTGTTCTGCTTTGTTTTAGTTCATTTTTAGCGCAGTGTAGGAGTGTGTCAAGGCAGAACTGAGTGGTGAAAACGACGTCAGAAGGTGTCACCAGGGATGACTTGCATCAAAATATTACTTAAAATCCAACGTCATGGAAACAAGTGTGGCCATTACTTTTTTAGAACTTGAAAGTAGCTTCATGGCGAATTAACCTTTTCGTTACTTACAAAGTGTCGGTGGTTTGTTTTTATATATTTTTCTGCGCTTTTCAACCTTTTGACTGTAGCGTAGACATTTTTTTGTTTGTTTGTTTCTGGAAGTTTCTGTGGACAGAGTGAAACCCAAATGTGTTAATTATGCGCCGTTCCCAATCACCTCATACACCGGGAACCACGAGGAAATGTTGAATGGAAAAAAAATTAATTCGAAATTGTCCTGGTGTTACGTTCTCGCAGTATTTTTGGCGTATTCTACCTGCCCCACCTTCTGAGGTTTATCCATCTGTTTATCCTTCTTCCCTGAGCATGTATAAGATTTCAGGAAGCACCTGAGCACCCCCCTCCCCCGCGACATTGCCAGTGATGTCACCCACATGCAATTGGAGCTGATGTTTTCCACGCGGCAGGGGGTGGGGGATTAACCGTCAGTGTCTCTTGCCACACTGCCGTCATTCGAGCCCACGGTTCGAGTCTCACTGACTGCGATCCCTCTCGCCCCTCCCCCTCCCCAGGTCTGGCGGACGGCTTTCCCCTGGATGAGGCTCTCTCCGGGGGCTGGCTGACACGCTCGGTGGAGATCACAGCCGATGACGTGCTGAGCCGCTGGGCGCTGGCGGGGGGGCCGCGGGACGGCCCAGCAGGGCTGCTGTCTGACCAGCTGCTGCAGGGCGAGGAGAGCCTACTCAGCCTCATGATGGACCCCTCCCTCAAGTCCGCCTGGAAGACACCCCGGCTGGGCCGAGGCACTAAGGGGAAGCCCCGATCCAGGGCTCACAGGCCGCGGGCCCCTGACGGCGATGGGGTCCGGCCTGATGGGAGGGGGGCTAACGGATTCGGCCGCCCCCGAGCCTCGAAGGGCCTGCATCGGCGACACCGTCAGCTGTATGCGCGACCGAAGGGTGGCCGCCCCCCGCGCACCGGCCCCCAGCCCCCCGTCTCCAAGATGAGCTCCTGTCACATCTCAGAGGACTGCGGCACGTGGGACGGCAGCCATCTTAGGGAAGCCTGCACGGCCGCCGCGGGCCCCGGGAAGCCCAGGGCCACGGACAGGCCCCGCCCCACTCTGCGGCTCCGCCTCCCCCGGCCCGGCAAGCCGCCATCCAGGGGCGGACCACAGGACCAGCCCTGGAGCCAGCGGGAGCTCGCTGGCAGGGACGGCTCGCTCTCGGACGGGCGGCCAGACGAGTCGATGTCAGACGCAGAGCCCAGCGACTCCGAGTCCCCCGCTGGGGCGGGCAAGCTCCGCCTTGCCCAGCTGCATGCTGGGAGCGAGGACGTGCTGAGGAGGAGCGTGCTGGCCACCTAAGTCCGACCATTGGGAGTGCGAGAGCACGGAGGTGGCGGTCCCGACCCAGGTGCCGGTGACTGTTCATGATGTGTGTGCCCCTACCCCTCCACCAGAACCAGGCCAAGGCAGCGCCGATACGGACGTGTCCGTGCCCATTACGTTCTGTGACCATATGGTTGTTCTTTTTTTTTTTTTTTAATTTGTGGTTGATGTTGCTGATAGTAACTGAAACTGCAGCTATGTTTAGGGCATTATGGGTGGTGAGTTCGGTGGCGTTCCCTTGGCATTTAACTACAGGATGTGTCCGTCTCATGTCTGAGGGGGAGACATCACTTACCTGATGTTTACTGTGGAGGAAATAATGCGGATATACAATGTAAAACAGTTTATAAAAAGCACAACCAGCGAACAGGCACACACACTCAAAAACACGCAAAGCAGTTACCTTCTGAGAGATGAAATTTGCCATCTTTCCCTTCCTAGTCACACATCTGGCCCCGTTTGGTGCCCGAGAGCATCTAAAACATCGAAGACATGCTGAAAAGACATCGAGGACTTTACCTAAATATGTGCCTTTTCGTCATTTTCCCCCCCCATAAAACGAGATGGGATTCGATTATCGGGCGATTAAACGTCGTGTCGTTCGGACTGGTTAACGGAAAGCCTGATTGGCCGGTGAGAAAATTGGAAGCCAGACTCCAACGTTGTCGGACAGAGTCGTGCTCATTATTCCCATTTTAGTGCCTAAGTTCCGTAGATCTGATTTCCCGGCTGCCTGGGAAAGGCCGGGATCCCAACACAGCATCATCACGGGAGTCTGTGACAGCCAGACAGGCTTCCTGGAGTGTCATGTGGCAGTCGTCACTGGAGCCCTGGCATTTACGCGGGGGGGTGTCCGTAAACGGGCGACGATTATCTCAGGGTCTAAGATTAAAAGAACTGAAAAAAAAAAATCATTTAAAGAAGACGATATATATTTATGTATCTATATATAAACCGAAAGAGGGATGCGTATTGGCCTAAATCTGTATATAATCACGGAGAGTGTGCGATTTCTGTATATGTATGTAGATATATAGATATGTGTTTATACTTTGTGACTTTTTGGCAAGACGAACCTCCGATTACTACTGAGCGTTTTTTTGACTCTCGGAGCCGCGAGCGGCTGCTTTGACTCGACGGCTGACCGGACTCTGCCAAAGAAGAGAGCGCAGGTGGCATTTACCGTAACATCTTACCGTTACTGTCGTCGCTGCTGTTGTCGTTTATTGCTGTTTTTTTTTGTGTACGATGCATAAAAGGACATGGGGATGTGGCGGGGGGGGGGTCCTTACTCTGGACCAGTGCACGTGCTGCTGGGGGGGTTGGTCACGCCTAGATAACGGGAATGGGCGTCCCTGATTTGGTGTGGAGGATCCTTTTCGGGTTTCTGCTCATGGATGTGCCCCCCCCCATTATGGCATAGGCCAAACCATGTCCCCAAGTGCCCCCCCCCCCTTCAATTCACCACATCCCTCAAAACAAAGGGGGCACCAAAGCGCTGAATGGGGACTCGGGACCTTTCCGACGCCTCCTTTGCCAGTGCTCATGTCAGAGGTCAGAGGTCAGAGGTCGGAGGCCTTGGTTCCTGGCCTGTCGGCAGCCTTGCGGCTGATGGCCAACGGGGCCCTGCTGACAGCAGCCATCTGAGCTTCTTTAGCCTTTAGCACGCGGAGCCGGCTGCGCAGTGACACACTCGACTACGCTCACGAGCAAGAGCATCCTGTTTGTAGCTCGAATGTTGCTCAGACAAAAGTGTGTCTTCTGTTCTCCGTTGGCTGGTCTTTCGTGCAGAGGTTCGCTCGAGCCTTTCGTCCGCCACCAACACTCGTTCGTTTCGTTTGCTGTATGACACAGCGCTAGTAGCCGTTTCCCCCGTTTCCCCAGTTTGCACGGTTTCATACACTTCTCTGTATCTTACCGCCAGCGTTGCGCTCTTCCTGCTTCCTGTCTGCATTCAAGTGTGATATCTCATGGGAAGAGGCTCCACCTCCAAAAACCTGCATGGGAGGAGTGAGGAAGGACAGTGAGGAGGAGGAGGAGGAGGCGTGCGGTCACTGGAAAGGGCCTTTGCAGAGGATCTGAGGGTAACAGTGTTGGGAGTCACTGCCCAGCTGCACACTGCAAATCGTGTCTCCCTGCTGGTGGTCGCGCCCTTCTATGTGGCAACCGGTTTGAGACTGAGATGAGAGCAGAGCCGGGATGAAAATCCGTCCGCGTCTCGGCCTGCTCAAGGAGCCCAGCTGAAGACAATCAAGGGTCTCGCCTGAGAGACGTTAAACTTCGGTGAGGCAGCAGGTGGCGCTGCAGACCCATAATCGCAAGGCCGCAAGTTGAGTTTTCTTCTGCAGTGAGACGTTCAGCTACGCCGAAGGCCAAGAAGCAGTGTGTCGCTAAGCAAACGGGTGTGCGCAAGCGGCGATGACCAAACGCCGGCTGGACATGCCCCCCTCCTTCACAGAAGAAGGTGTTTTGTATTTGGGGGAGGCCTGGAGTAATTAAAATTCATGCCCAGGTGACCTGGGATATAGGAATTCCGCGATGTAGGGGAAAGGTCGGAATCCCCCCTCACCGAGGACCAGACTCCAGTCACGGGACCAGCACATGGAGGGACTTTCCTTATTTTCTGTTTCCGGTTCCTTCCCTATCTTGCCGTGGAGGTCCGTCCCTGGAATTTTGCGAGTGCATGTGGACGGTGCGGCGTGCGGAGGTGAGGCTGCTTCTCATGATGATTTGTTACCCCGCCACCCCATAAAGAAGACACTTCGAGCAAAGTCTAGACCCTGCTGGCTGCACTGTTCCTGTTTGCTGGCACTGACATCGCTGACATCACCGCTGACATCATTGCTGACATCACCGCTGACATCATCGCTGACCTGTACAATTCCTGAAACATTTCTCCATACTATAATATGAATGTGGCAGGAGTTTATCCTTCTGTGTTCTTTGTTTCAAAGAATGTCGTGCCATTTGTTAATAGCAAAGAGGAATATTAAAGATATATTAAATGAGAGCTATTTTAAATTATTTTTTGGCCTTTTCAGTACGTATTTATTTTCTTGTATTAGAATCTTTGTAGGAGAAGAAAAAAAAAGGAACGACTGTATTTTTCATTAGTGCAAAAACCTATTTTTTCCTTTTTTGTACATTTTTTCATGTCCAGCTATCGACAGCAATATGATGTTTTCCGTGACTGTAACTGCATGCTGTTTGTGTTGCCTTAACTACGGCTGCATTCCCCCCCTCTGGGACCCCTTGTCCCGACACCCTCCGGCGTGGTCGACTGCTGCAGTCAATAAAAGCTTTCCGTGTATCAGGCAGTCCTTGTCCTTTCTGTTCGGCTGGGATTTGTTTCCTGCTACCAGTGCTGTATTGCCCCCCCCCCCCCCCCCCCCCCCCCCCCC